GTTCACTAAAAAATATTATTACCAATGGTTTACAAAATACCTTATGAAGAAAGAAATACCCACACACCCTTTTTACATTGTGCTTTTAGTTTCAGTTCTTCACTTTTCCCTGAATTTCCCATGTAATAGAGAAGATATATTTTAATTTAATCAAAGAAAAATTCATTGTATAGAAAACAATGCTTCAATGTATATAACCTCTAGAAAATTAAAACTGAATTAGAAAACTATATGTAATAAAGAACTGATAACAGATTCTTTTAACTAGTATGGATGGTGGACAGAAGTTGTAAATCCCTCATTTTTATACTTGCGAGTTTGTCCTGAAACTGACAATAGAATGGGAACTCCTTTCTCTGGATGTGGGGATCATTTATATTTATTTTCACTCTTCGGTTATTTCTCTTCATTCATCCATTAAACTAATTTTCATTAATACAGCATAGTCCTGTATTGGCATGAATTGCTGTAGCAAAAAACAGAATTTCTACAGTAGTGCTTTAAAGGAATTAGAAGTGGTGCTTCTTGTCAAAGAAATCACTAATAGCTTCAGATTGCCTAGTCAGGTGGGAGCATGAGCTATTTCCTTCTCAGTCCAGAACAGCTATATTACATGGATTTTTGGTGGGTGATAGAGGCTTGGAAATATATGCCAAATACATTTTTGTTGTTTAATCCAGTAGTTTGTGGTTCTTTGTTATATCAGACCTAACAAATATGCCAAATTTCAACAAATATTGAAATTTCTGAGAAGAATCTTGTTAATATCAAATCAACAGTGAAGTTGGGGCCAAAGATAATTTTATATTTCCTGCCTGTTGACAAATATTGGGTATTTGAAGATATATTTTAATTCAATATTAAGAGACTCTATGAAGTTGTTTTGGAGCATAATAGAAGAGGAACATTATAGATTCACAGAAAAATCATATATCTGAGAACAGAATTATACTTAAAATGATAAGGAAAACCTTTAGTTTGCCATATAGTTGGCTTTTTCAGTAATAAAAAGGAATTATGAATAAGAAATCAGAAGATATGCTCATAATGACTGAAATTAAAAGATTAATAGTTGATATGAGTAATAATGTATGGAAAATAAAAAATCAGTAATGCCTTATGGTATAGGTTGAATTGTGGTTCACATGTTGAAGTCCTAATCACCAGTAGGATGTGACTGTTTTGAAGATGGGGTACTCAAAGAAGTAATTAAATTAAAATTATCTCATTAGGGTGGGCCCTAATCCAGTATGACTCATGTCCTTAATAAGAGATTTTGACAAAGATATGTCAAAGAAAAGACCTTGGGAAGACACAGGGAGCAGATGCCATCAAGAAGTCAAGAGGACAAGGCTCAGAAGAAGCTAACCCTACCTACAGCTTGACCTGAGACTTCTTTAGAATAATGAGAAAATATGTTTCTTTTGTTGTTTAATCCAGTAGTTTGTGTTTCTTTGTTATATTGAACCTAACAAACAAATACCATTTTAATCAAATACCATTTAATACCAGTTAAAAGCAGAATTAACATGCTAAAAAGTTGAATCAAGGAAATAACTTTGAGAACTTATTCAAGTTTTTTTGTTTGTTTGTTTTTGTTTTTGTTTTTTTAATGCGGTCCTGGGAATTGAACCCTGGAATGCTCTACCACTAATTTGTACCCCCAGACCTTTATTTAAAATTTTATTTTGAGGTAGGATCTTGCTAAATTGCCCAGGCAGGCCTCAAACTTTCAGTCCTCCAGCCTCAGCTTTTGGAATAGCTGGAATCACAGGTGTATGCTAGCACACCTGGCCATAAATGTATTTTTTAAAGG